AAAAAAAAAAAAAAGTTGTACCATTAAAGTCAGAGGATGCTGCCATAGTTGTTAGTAGTATACTATACAGCTGCTTTGCTTTGAAGTTGACTGTTTACAACTTTATCAGTAGAAGCCTGAATGTGAAATAAAACTCCACGATAAAACGTAAAAAAAATAATGCAGATACGGTTTTGGGGGAGTGGGGCTGGATGCAATTACTTTTTCCTGGACAATTGAGGCAGTGACAATTGGTGTAGACTGGGTTCCAGTCCCTAATCTTTGTCTAAATCAGTTGAAATGCTTAAGAATAAATCGATTTTGGCACAAATGGCGTTTCATATTACTTATTTGCATGGCAAAAAAGTTTCTCAACATAAACTGACGCTGGTGGCGCTTTCCAAAATGCACTATTGTACTACGAAAAATCCATAAATTAGAGACTTGTGGCAAGTCTACAATTGGTGGTGCTATAGATTCAATATAACGCCTCCCCCTGAGTCAGCAATAACCTCATGAATATTTATAGATTTTCCTGCTGCTGTCGAGGGTTTATACGATATCCAAAGCAAGTGGACAACATGCATGCAACACCGACAAGCTGTACTGTACAGGCGCTGTATAAATCCAGAATTATTATTATTATTATTAGTAGACCTATGATGGAGAAAGTGTTAAACATCCATATACTTGAACCTTCTTTTATCATTAAAGAACATAACATAAATCTAAAAATAAATAATAATTAGGCTGTTATCTACAAAATACTGTAGGCCTTATTTGTTAGGGATGTATGGTCACTCAAACGTACATTACTGAAGCAACATAGAAATTGTACGAAATAATAACCAACATACAATAAGTATGTAATACAGTAACAACATAATTTTGACCATAAGTAATCAGTATTTATTTCTAAAATATATATTTCAGAATTATAATAAAAAAGGGGTTCAATTATTTGTTATGGATGTATTGTCACTCACGCGTACATTACTGAACCAACATAAAATTGTACGAAATTGTACGAAATGACACACCAACATACAGTAAGTATGTAATACAGTAGAATTATAATTTTGACTGTAAGTAATCAATATTTATTTCTAAAATATATATTTCAGAATTAAAATAAAAAAAGGGTTCAAGTCTGAGGTGTTCAACTACTGTACTCTTCATTATAAGGCTTGCCAGTTAAACCATACGCCTGTATAATGCCTACTACAGTTTGCCTTCCATTTCGAGACCACTTTTGGAACCTGAAAATTTGGGGTGATCTTGGCGTTGGTCCGTAATTAGAGGGCTGGCTTTGTGTTAAAAGATTGAAGATTGTTATTTGGGTCTTTTGAAAAGTGGTCTCAAATTAGATGGTGCACTGTACTTGGCTTGAGCCTTGCTTATTGCATCGCATAATCGCACATGACGTATCAAAACTGCTGTCGAGAATAAGAAACTACTAATAAATATTCATGAGTTTATTGCCAAATCTTGAAGTTAATATTTTGAATCTATAGCGCCACCAATCACCGCTACCTGAAAGTCCTGGAAAAAAAAATCTGAGGCCTGGACTACAGTTATATCCAAATTTAAGCCATTACCGGTCATTTAGAGGTGCTATAATTTTAAATTTTCTTACCTCTACCTCATGGTGTTCCTGAGGTGGTCTAGACGTACGTCGGCAACCCATGGGTTGTGAGAGAATTTTAAACAATTTAAGTTTTCATACAATAATGATTTACGCACTACAAATTTAATTTGAATGACCTAAGAATGAGTTGGGTATAGAAATTAGAACTAATTTATAGCAATCATTTTGCAATGCAAAATTCATCTTAATATGAAATCAGCAGTAACATATGTTCTCAATATTTTTTGTGATGCCATGTGAATGACCAAATATTGAGCACTCTAATTTATGGTATGTAGCATGAATAGAGTAACAAGTCAAAAATAAGGGTGACTTCTATGATAACCGGAGGTCGTGGGAAGCTATGGCAATAAATTCTGGGTCGTCAGGAGTAGAAGGTTGCCGACTGTAGATCTAGACTCTACATTTGTTTTTGTTTTGGTGAAGCCTCGCTTCTAATCCTGGATCCACCACTGATTTCACAGTAACCTCAGCTCACCATATGCTGAACAGATTTTTGTTGGTCACCAGTGATAGTGTATTTTATTAGCTGAACCTGATCGATTATTAAGCCTAAGAAGCCTATGCCTTTTCAGCAAGGCAAAATTGATAGGCCTAGGTGTATTTACAAATTTCGTGTTGCATATTAAAATTAATCATTTATACAGTGGGACAGCATTTTTTGATAAATTGAAATATTGTAAGTTTTAACCCATTTAATTATTGAAGATATCACTATTAATTTTAATACTTACCTTTGATTGTTCTGAATATAGTATTTGATCGGAAGTAGTTAAGTAAATCCTTTGAATTTTTTGCTGCAACTGACACTGACACTCTGAAAAAGGGAATTGTACCTTTGTTGACAATCGAATACACCTTTATGCCATTCAAAGTCTATAGGATACATATACTGTACTGTATAATACATTTGTTTTCAATTCAATGATTTTCTTGCTACGCCTAACCTTTTTTATCATGTAAATTGTGATTGAATAAATAAAAGATAAAGAGTGGCAGACAATTAGTAGAAATACACTCATAGTAACAAGAATGTCTGTATACTTTGTATACTTTCTTACTTCCTTAATCCTCCATAGTATATATAGTAATATTTTTTTTTTTTTTTTTTCTACCTAAATCAATAAAATATAAGATTAAAAATTCAATCTAATGTTCTCTTTCATTGATTAGTCTATAAGTATTGTTATAAATGTTGTCATTCATATTTTATGTCCGCTTTCTGTTATTTTCAAATTCAAAATCAGTCACATGACCTTTCTTAGTTAAATTTTAAAGGAGTTAATTTGCATATGACACAGTACACTTGATGGCCACTAGCTATACCACAAAACATATACTGTATTTGCTATTGTGATACAACATATTCGTCTGTCATCGTCATTAGCAATCTGCAATGCTGCAGTTCCATTTGTGATTTGAAATTCAGTTCCTCCAATTATCTCTTTGATGCGCTTCCGATGTTAAACATGTCCATGAACATATTATAAACATTTTGTAAACAGCTAAAAAGAGACAAAATAAGTTTTTAAAATTTCAGTGGATTACATTTTATTTTATTTTCATTTATTTATTTGATGAACATTTACAAAAAGAGTGACAGTGAAATACAATATGAGAAAAACAAAAATTAAAATACTGGACAGTGATAGCTTAAGCAAAATACATTGGTATAACTCAAATGAGCCAGCTATAAGCAAAATACATTGTTATAACTCAGATAAGCCAGCTATCCTTTAAAAAAAAATTAAAAGTGATTCGGTTGGGAACTATAAATCCCATCATGCATCACTTGCATATTTGTTGATTTTAGTAGTAGCCACGGATACGTGAGGAAATCCCTTGTTTCACACGTAGGCCTACATACACACTAACAGATATGAAATGAAATACATAATATTGTGTTTTATGAAAAATCTAGTGACACGCACATGACCGCGAAGATTTCTGAACAACCTTGAGCCTAGGCTCTATCTATATAGAGCCTTCATTGTCACATACAGTAGTTGAACTAGCCGTTTTTGTGATACAACACGGCTTGTTATCCAGGTAACTTTTAATTATTAGTAGTGCCTCTCCCGCAATAATCATTTGCCAATCACTTTCCACAATACAATTTTTTTTTTTTGCAGTGTGAGAGAATCGAGTATGAACAGCCTAGAAAAGGTCACATGTCAAATTGTGAGGTCACATCCTGCAATGTTCAGTCCACCAAAGTGAGTTCAATAAGACACTTTTAACACATTTATTTTTAATTTTGTTCACATCTAACAGGAGGATAAAAGCTGCTTTATAAACTGCCTGCATGCCCAGGTGTGACATTGACATTGTTTTCGACTTCAGTGGGTGGAGCCCTGTTCTGGATACTTACACCGATAGCGCAAATGCTTTTTCTAAACTGTTTTAGTTTAAGTACTGTAGTTTAAGTCAAAATTATTTACTGCTTGTTATCTTTTCTTTTTGTAAAGCGTATTGAGGCTTTCTTTTGCAGAATGCGCTATAGAAGTATGGAATTATTGTTATTATAAACTAAAGGTGTGTTCACATTGGATTAAAACTGACCATTCAGAAGGGTAACTTAACCTTTCTAAATTTAACCACTGCTTGCTTTTGGATGTAATAGCCGAGGCTGTGGCTAGCTATGCACAAATTTTCCATCAAATGTGCAACCAGACAATTTATTTGAAAGATGTATAGACAAGTGCAAATCTGAAAGTTTTGCAACACAAAATCTGTGAAAAAGCGAAAGATGTAAAAAAGGGTGGGTATGCCCCTGTTTTTCCCAGTTTTCTAATTTTCAAAAATCTGTATCTCATTCACCGTTTCTCATTTTTTACTCAAAACAACTTTTTTCTGTCTTAGAAAAATCAATTTAACAGCATATCAAACATTTTTTTTTCTCCGGAGCCTGACTTTAACATTTTTCATTATTTTGTTTACAAACAAAAATTCATTCTTTCTGGATATGATTCGCTCACTTAAACTCTACAGTATTCATTATAACTTTTTGTAATTTATAAATTTGAAATACATTTGTAAGGGTCCACTTATTAATATATACAACACATGTTGAGTAGTTTTACCATGGAAAATGTTACAGCTCAAATCAAAGAATTTTATCAAGATTTCAGATAATATATCAACCTAATTCAATATTAATGAAGATTTTGTAGGTTTTAAAAGAATTCTAATGTTGAAATCCACAACTGCTTCTACTTATGTAGGTGTATTTTAGTGTTTCATTTAATTTTAATATTGCTATATTTTAACTTACTTGTTTTCTAATGATAAGTTATAAACCATTGAAAAGCACTGCTCTGTTGGATAATAGTATGTCTTATATAGCACACTACACAATATTATTTAATTGTTTTTAATATTTATATTTTAAAAAAGAACCAATTGATTTTTTTAATCTTAAGCTGTGAGAAAATGATGTGTTGTCTGGTGCAGCAGTCTTGTGAGAAGATTGATAGAATTAGAAAAGTTGCCGGGCAAATATTTTTACGTCTTGTTTATTCCGAGGAGCCCTCCATACCTGATATCCCACACCATCAGGAAATCATGGAAGTCTTCCCAAAGTAAGTACATTGCACATACATAGTTTATTTTATAAAACATAAATATACAAAATATAAATAGTATATGCCTCCTTTTACTACCATTTTATTTGCAGGAGTTTTTATAAAACCATACAATTTTCTAGCATGGCAATTAGTGAAAAATGATATCAAATTATTTCATTCACTAAGAGAGGATGCTACATAGGCCTTAAGATAACAATGTTTTCATGGGTTTGTGATGTCATTTAAACTTGGTATGAAATTTTCTTTAAAGGTCTGATGTTAATGAGTTGAACTGGGCAGCACCTTCAGATGCTTTCCCAAAAGTTACACGCTTACTGAACCTACCCAAGTACAGGTACTCAATCATCTTGGGACTGACTGTCAGTGTTGGAGGCCTAACAGAATCACTTGTAAGTCAAAATCTGTTGCCTGTAAAATCTAAATTTGCATGTAATTCGGATGGGATGAAGTATTTGGCATGATACCAGTTCATGTAGGGCAAAACATCACTCCTATGATATTTGTTTTTATTTAAACTGGCATTGAAATTGCATTTGTAGTACCGGCTGCTAATCGGGGATTAGATTCAACACTAGTTACTAAGCGCAAGCTTGTTAGTCTAGTGGTTATGGTGCCACAGGCTATTTTTTCTGAATGTTGTGGATTTGAGTCCCATCCGAATCACTTGCAAATTTTTTTGGATATTGTTTTTGAATGTACTGAGTATTCTGTATGATAATTCTTCAGGTAGGCAAGACATCACTGCTGTGATATATTTTTGATGGAAACTCAAATCGAAAAAGCATTTGCAGTACCCGCTGCTAATTGGCGATCGGATTCTACACTAGTTGCTAAGCGGAAGTTCAGTAGTCTAGAGGTTATGGTGCCAGGATAGTTATCTGGAGGTTGTGGATTTAATTCCCACTCGAATCACCTGCCAATTTACATGGGAACATACTGAGTATTCGCTATCACGTCAGATAGGGCAAAACATCACTCCTAATTCTTAACTTGTGTAATATATTTTTTTGTAGGTAAAATATTCAAGTCAGTCCCTTACTGGTTTCTTGACAAGTCTGAAGAATGAGGAGGACTTAAGCACCTTCAGTGATACAATGCTGGCAGTGTTCAAAGACTACCAAAAAGTGGACAGGTATATGATGTAGTCAATTGATTGCGTTGTTAAAATGCATGTTTACGGACAAAATTGCGAAGCAGTTTAGACATTACCATCTCATAGTATTGTACAAACTTTTCTTTTTGTTACATCACTAGAAGATTTTGTGCAATTTCCTGAGGGTCTTTTCTAGGGATGGCATTGTCCAGGATATGTACTACAAGCATATCAAAGTTTTTTGTAAATACTTATTAATGATCACTCAATTTTGTATTTCTAAACCTCATTTCATATCCATTTAATTTGCTTATATATATATACATCACTTCTGATTTGTGTAATTTAATATATTCAATTATTTTTTATATTTGATAATTTCATTATATTCAATATATATATTTTATCCTTCAATTTCTTGCAGAGTTTCAGTTCCAATGTTAAAAATGATTGATATTCTGTTGACACATGGTTGTTTTAATGGCATGGAAGGCAAACAGTAAGTTACTACAGCAACAATATCACATGATATACCAAACCAAGTAATGCTTTTATCTTTAGCTGTTTTGTGGACAACACACTTAACCTTTGAAGAGCTAATGGATAGAACATCACAATTTTGTATATGATTTTGTATATGACATTTGTGGCATTCCAGTACACATGTGGTGACCATGAAAACAACAAATGCATTCTAATTGTTTATACTATTTCTGAAACATGCTTATTTATGCAGTATTTACTTCCCCTACCTGCTAATTAATTTTGCAATTTTGAAGTTAATAATACAGTACTTACAAAATTTACAATTCCAGATGGATTGAAGTGTTAAATTTTTGTTATAATATTTTTAATAGTTTAATAATAATAATACTGTAAATAACAATAATTCTCTATTTGTCCTCATTCTGATTGGAAATTGGAAATTTGGGCTAGGCCCCTGGGAACCCACAGCAGCCTCAGTGCAGCATCACCCGAATTAACCACAAACATATAACAAACACTGTTATATGGTGTGTCCATAGCATGCCTAAATCTTAATATGAGGGTTATGTAAGGAGACAAGCGATTAGCCTCCAGTTAAAACTCCACACAGGCCAGGTTTGAACCAGGATCTTCAGCACAAGAAGCACGAATAATACCTCTCTATAATAGCCAGATGCTCAGCTTTATGTTTATATTTGAAAGGCATATTCATGGCTTGCATCATATTTAAAATCACAGCTATACTAGTTGTGATCCACAGTCCTGATTTTTTTATTGCAGAAATTCATTCTCACTAGCTTTACTAGAAGTGTGCAAGAAAGAGATATTAAAAACTAAAGACATCCAAAAAATGCTGTGCAGTGTAGATGTGTAAGTACATAATTATTGTGTGTAGAGCTATCTTGGTGTTGAAGGTTCTTCTTGACCAAAAAAATATTTACCAATATACTCAACAACTGTGTGTTTGTGTTTTAAAATGAATTGTTTTTATTCGTACGTTAAACTTTCAAATTTTATTTTGCATCGTCCTGAATTAGGTTTTGTGACTTACTCCTATTCAAAGGTGAGACTCAATCTAAAGCATTCTCACAAATTCTCATCTTTTTGGGTCACAAGTATCCAATGGTAAGTATGTATTTACATGTGATGCAGTTATAAATATAATTAAATTAAATGTTTTCCTTGTTACTGATAAATGCTTACATAAAAATAAATGAATTTCTTAAAGACAAAATAATATTATTGATTATTCTTTATTAAAATATATGAAGTTAACAGTGTAGTGAAGCAAGCACACATACTGTAATTTATTTTTAAAAAAGTACTAAAGACTCAACCATAAATTTAAGTACAGTTTTGTAAATTTTTTAAAAATTACTTCTTAATAGATCCGAAAATCAACGGCAAATAAGCTTTATGAGACATTATTGATGTTTGATGATTTGACTCCAGAAGAAAATCAAGAAGAGATATTAACAATTCTGGGTGATACCATGTGGTGAGTTTATTTTAATTATTTTATTAGAATCATGTACTACGAGAGAGTAACCCTAAAATACAATATAGTACTACATAATAAAGGAATGTATAGGTGTAATTTTGCCCTACCTGACGTGGAAATGTACTGATACTTAGTACGTTTGAAAACAATTGCGAAAAAAATCACACGTTGTTCTCGGGTGGGACAAATTCTAATCAAATTCTTCAAACTAGTTGTGTCAATTTAATTGTGTGTTACAATGTACCTCAGACAACTAAATACAACCCCATTTTTTCATTTGTTTTAGGGATGATGAAAATATGGACAATATACGTGAAATTAGAAACAAACTTTGTGATCTAGTTGGAGTTTCAAGACCTAAACTGGTGGTAAGAACAATATATCAATATATAAATATATTCTAAAAACAATTTAGTAACTTACCTGACTGTTTGCTGATACTTTACTTGCTTTCTCCAGTAGACATCATGTGGATTCTTTGTTTTCATTTAATTGTTAAAGCTTATCTAGATTTTACCAATGTATTTATGTAATGGAAAATGGTTGACATAATTTTTGTAACAGAAACAAATGAAATCTTTAAATTTGTGATGATTTCCAGGGTGGTGTAAAGAAAGCTGCTGTTGCTAAGGGTAATGATGATGATATGGACACATATAAAGGTAAGCTCTTAAAGATAGATAAGGTGTTTTTTTTAAAATTATAATCACATAGAAGGCCCACTACTTGCAGATTCGATATGTAATTTCTACCTAATGATTTTAGGCTGAAAATTATTAGGTTATACTTTTGAAATCAATGATATTACCTTTGCAACAAGAAGATAAATTTTTTTTTTTTTTTACAGATCTTCTTGGCAGAGTTGGATACTAGATGATGTTTTGTGTTACTGGATTCAATTTAAAAAACAAATATCTTGCTATTATACTGTACTTTTGAAATCTATTTGCAATGTTCAATCATTACTAGACATTTAAACGTGGTTGGCGCAACAGTTGTAGTTGTAGTTGTTGTTGTTGTGTAGTTGGCCTGTACAAGTTTGATCTTCATATTGTTAAATGGATAATCCATAATTTCAAAGTGTATACAAATTGCAGCATTGCGCCGTCTGACAAACACTAAATAAAGAAATACGGACACTCCGGCCTGTACGAGTGTGATCTTCATATCATTAAATTGATAATTTCCTAGTTTTCACTTGTTTTCAGTTTTCATATCTTAAAAGTGATATAGAATTCTGTATAATACTTGTTGGTGGTGATTTAAAGTGATTTGTGAATCGGAATAATATTTGGCAGACCTTAATAATAATAATAATAATAGAAATAATAACTTTATTTAAAGCAATGATGTGATGCATTTCATTGTTCTTCATTTTCATCTTTCAAGTCAAGATAATATTAATGAAATCATGATAAAAATGATTTGCCTGTATATATCATTTCCATAATTGCAAAGTGATATACAAATTTTAAAAATAAGTGGACAGGCTTTAATAGTGGTTTTTTTTTTTATTATTTCCATATATCTTTTAAGTGATATGTAAATTAAAATAAAAATGTGGGTGGTGCTTGAATGTATTTGCTTCACATTTGTTCAAATGAGTTTGATTATTAAATGTGGAGAAGATGGAGTTGGATACTAGATGATGTTTTGTGTTACTGGATTCAATTTAAAAAACAAATATCTTGCTATATACTGTACTTTTGAAATCTATTTGCAATGTTCAATCATTACTAGACATTTAAATGTGGTTGGCGCAACAGTTGTAGTTGTAGTTGTTGTTGTTGTTGTGTAGTTGGCCTGTACAAGTTTGATCATCTTCATGTCGTTAAATCTATAATGTGAGCAGAGCTTTCTAGTTTTCACTTGTTTCCAGTTTTCATATCTTTAAAGTGAAATGGAATTCTGAATAATACATGTGGGTGGTGATTTAAAATGATTTGTAAATCATTTGGCAGACCTTAATAATAATAATAATAATAATAGTAGAAATAATAATAACTTTATTTAAAGTAATGATATAATGCATTTCATTGTTCTTCATTGTCATCTTTCAAGTCAAGATAATAATGAAATCATGATAAAAATGATTTGCCTGTATATATTATTTCCATAATTGCAAAGTGATATACAAATTTTAAAAATAAGTGGACAGGCTTTAATAGTGGTTTTTCTTTTTATTATTTCCATATATCTTTTAAATGATATGTAAATTAAAATAAAAATGTGGGCGGTGCTTGAATGTATTGGCTTCACATTTGTTCAAATGAGTTTGATTATTAAATGTGGAGAAGATGGAGTTGGATACAAGATGATGTTTTGTGTTACTGGATTCAATTTAAAAAACAAATATCTTGCTATTATATTGTACTTTTGAAATCTATTTGCAATGTTCAATCATTACTAGACATTTAAACGTGGTTGGCGCAACAGTTGTAGTTGTAGTTGTTGTTGTTGTTGTGTAGTTGGCCTGTACAAGTTTGATCTTCTTCATGTCGTTAAATCTATAATGTGAGCGGAGCTTTCTAGTTTTCACTTGTTTCCAGTTTTCATATCTTTAAAGTGAAATGGAATTCTGAATAATACATGTGGGTGGTGATTTAAAATGATTTGTAAATCATTTGGCAGACCTTAATAATAATAATAATAATAGTAGAAATAATAATAACTTTATTTAAAGTAATGATGTAATGCATTTCATTGTTCTTCATTGTCATCTTTCAAGTGATATGGAAATCATGATAATAATGATTTGTTTATACTATTTCCATAATTTCAAAGTGTATACAAATTGCAGCATTGCGCCGTCTGACAAACGCTAAATAAAGAAATACGGACACTCCGGCCTGTACAAGTTTGATCTTCATATAATTAAATTGATAATTTCCTAGTTTTCACTTGTTTCCAGTTTTCATATCTTAAAATTGATATAGAATTCTGAATAATACATGTGGGTGGTGATTTAAAGTGATTTGTGAATTAGAATAATATTTGGCAGACCTTAATAATAATAATAATAATAATAGAAATAATAACTTTATTTAAAGCAATGATGTGATGCATTTCATTGTTCTTCATTGTCATCTTTCAAGTCAAGATAATAATGAAATCATGATAAAAATGCTTTGCCTGTATATATTATTTCCATAATTGCAAAGTGATATACAAATTTTAAAAATAAGTGAACAGGCTTTAATAGTGGTTGTTCTTTTTATTATTTTCATATATCTTTTAAGTTATATGTAAATTAAAATAAAAATGTGGGCGGTGCTTGAATGTATTTGCTTCACATTTGTTCAAATGAGTTTGATTATTAAATGTGTAGAAGATGCAATATGTCTGTGAAATTTCCAATATTGATTATATGACTAACTTGTTTGTCAAGAGCTTGATAGGAGAAGGCATACCCACCATATTGACCATTATTGACCAGAACAAATTCCAATATTTTTGGTCATTTTTTCAAGTAGAGGTGGAGACAACCTGAAGAAAATCATTGTTCAAGGTTCAAGGAAGTCACCTCATGGTCTTCCAAATTTACTTTGGACAGATGGAATTAGGCACCTCACAGGGGTGTCGATTAACACAGCCTACAGAACAGCATTAGAAAGGGTCGCAAATGGTCAGTATAATAACCCATAGGACAAAGAGGATTAGATGATGCAAAGTAGTTATATTTAGAATCGCCATCCTGCATTATTAAAAACAAGAAACATAACAGCATCTCTGGTTTTTTTAAAGTTTACTTAATACAAAAATGTATTCCGGTATAAAACCATAATGTAAAGAACTTTAATAATATTTCTCATTTCTGGGGATGCCAATTGCGAATGAAAACTACTGTATGTTTAATTGCAGTATTGAAACTCCTGAATGTCAAATTATGAAATAATGTACATTTCCAACAGGTAAGCTAAGCACTTTATGTTTGTCTCTTATCCTGAAGTTTACATAGGTATGTTTCTGCTATGTTTGATGTTTTATGTTCGACTGGAATTCGAGGCTGGGTGTTTATAAATTCCTTTGTTTCCAATGGCAAGATTAGGTGATGGCGATGATGATGTTTGTTGTGTGTGTTGATGGTGATCATGGTTGTGTATGGTGGTGATGGTCTAGGTTGTGGTAATAGTAGTTGTCTTTCAATTATCCTGTTACTATATTGAAAGAATTTCAAGTGATTGTTATAATTGAGCTGAATACGTAATTTGTTTTTAAAATTCTGCATTGCTAGATTTTATTAGTGTTGATCAGGACAGCTAAATTGAGTGGTAAACTCAAAAGGTTGGTTGGTTTTAGAACTTATATTTTATGATTGTGTACTTTTTAAGTGTATTTTCTTACTAAAACAGTGTTTTCTTTGCATATTCTGTAATTCTAGTCCTATTATTTGTACAGGCTAGTTTATCTTTGAGGCCGATTTTCTCAAAACCTGGTTCTTATACACCTAAACTATAAATAAATGCTAACATCTCTGGATCTATTTATCCTAGGGAAGCCATTCAAAGGCCAAATTAAATCTTATAATGTGATCAACCAAAATGTAATATAAACTCATTTTTTGATTTTCTAACGATGAGACTCATTTTGTAGTGAGACTTCACATATACC